CGCATAGACTTTATAGTGCCTTCATATATATATTTTTTAAGCGCTGCACTTTTCTTGTTACAAAGTTTGTCATAATGTACACTTTTTAGCATTAACCAGAAGGGTACCAAGTTTTTTTTTCTCTCAAGTTTACTACCACTTTAAAAGGAGAGACAAAGGGGCAATTGCCCCTGGGCCTTTGTCAGCAGCAGACTGGACTAGGAAGGTATCTTCCCTAGGGCCATCCTCCATTTGTTGATTCAGTCCTTCAGATCACTTGGCAAGCAACACAGAGGTACTTACACAATGCTCTCTTCCCTCTTTCTTTAGAATTTCCAAAGCAGTAAAAGGAAACAAAAGCAATAATTGCATACTGCTGCATTGGTTGCCAGATTATCATACTCTCCCTTTCTTCCCTCTCCCGTCACTGCTTCAGCAGTTCCTTGCAGAGTCAGTTTGTTCTCTATTAAAGCCTATATAAACCCAATAACAAAAATGTAATAGATTGCAGCTTAACAGTCCTTGGATGTGGTGTCTGCATTGGTTTTAATTTTCAGGATTGATTTCTTTTATTTTTACCAGGTGATCCTGCCAGTAGCACACTTCCTTTCCTAGGGCAACACTGCTCCCTCTCTGTGCAGTATCTACGAAGCATCAGTGTTGTCAACCTAGGCTGCTTGTTCCTGATATGGAAAGAACACCTCCCCTCTTGAACCTGGGTTCAGACTAAATTTTGCGAAATACAGTTGCAAGAAAAAGTATGTGATTCCCTTGGGATTACGTGGAGTTTTGCATGAATTGGGCATAAAATGTGCTCTGAACGTCATCTAAGTCACAACAATAGAAGAACACAGTCTGCTGAACATAATACTACACAAACATTAGATGTTGCCATGGTTTAATTGCACATAACATGTAAACATTCACAGTGCAGGGAGGAAAAAGTATGTGAGGCCCTAGCTTAATGACTTCTCCCAGAGCTAAATGGAGCCAGGAGTGAGCCAACCTTGACTCCAATCAGTGTGATGATATTGGATGTGTTGCTGACAGCTGTCCTGCCCTTAAAAAACACACACCTGTTTTGGGTTTACTGGTTTCAAGAAGCACTGTCTGATGTGAACCATGCTTCGCAGAAAAAACTCTCAGAAGACCTACGATCAAGAATTGTTGACTTGCATGAAGCTGGAAAGGGTTACAAAAGTATCTCCAAAAGCCTTGATGTTCATGTGTCCACGGTAAGACAGACTGTCTACAAATAGAGAAAGTTTAGCACTGTTGTCATGGTCGTCCTGTACAAATGACTGCAAGAGCACAGCGCAGAATGCTGCATGAGGTAAAGAAGAATCCCAGAATGTCAGCTAAAGACCTACAGAAATCTCTGGCACATGCTAACATTTTTGTTGACACATCTACAATAAGGAAAACATTAAACAAGAATGGAGTACATGGGAGGACACCACGGAGGAAGCCATTGCTGTCCAAAAAGTATATTGCAGCACGTTTGAAGTTTGCAAAAGAGTACCTGGATGTTCCACAGCACTACTGGCAAAATATACTGTGGACAGATGAAACCAAGATTGAGTTGTTTGGGAAGAACACACAACACTATGTATGGAGAAAAAAAAGGCACAGCACACCAACATCAAAACCCCATCCCCACTGTAAAACATGGCGGAGGGAGCATCATGGTTTGGGGCTGCTTTGCTGCCTCAGGGCCTGGACAGATTGTTGTCATTGATGGGAAAATGAATTCCAGAGTTTATCAAGACATTTTGCAGGAAAACGTACGACCATCTGTCCGCCAACTGAAGCTCCGCAGAGGATTGGTGATGCAACAGGACAATGACCCAAAGCATACAAGTAATTCAACAAAACAATGGCTGCACACAGCACAGAATACACCTTCTGGAGTGGCCCAGTCAGAGTCCTGACCTCAACCCGATTGAAATGCTGTGGCATGACCTTAAGAGAGCGATTCACACCAGACATCCCAAGAATATTGCTACACTGAAACAGTTTTTTGTGAAGAGAAGTGGTCCAAAATTACTCTAGATCGTTGTGCAGGTCTGATCTGCAACTACAGGAAATGTTTGGTTGAGGTTATTGCTGCCAAAGGAGGGTCAACCAGTTATTAAGTCCAAAGGTTCACATACTTTTTCCTCCCTGCACTGTGAATGTTTACATGTTATGTGCAATTAAACCATGGAAACATCTAATGTTTGTGTAGTATTATGTTCAGCAGACTGTGTTCTTCTATTGTTGTGACTTAGATGACGTTCAGAGCACATTTTTATGCCCAATTCATGCAAAACTCCACGTAATCCCAAGGGGTTCACAAATATTTTGTCTTGCAACTGTAATTACTGTCAGTTTTACCACCGCTGCTGTATATGACAAGCTTCACCTCAGGCTAATTGTTAGGAAACTGGCAGCCATTAGTGTTTAGTAGGTAAATTGCATATTTACTTATTAATATTGTGGCTCAATAGTGTTTAAGAATGCCTCCAAGCCTTGGTTAAAGGGCTACACGAGGAAAAAGTCTGATTACCTTAAATGACTCATACCAAAGGAATGTGACTATGTGGATAAGCTGACCCACTCTACTTTCAGGAATGTGCCATTTTCCTTAGAAGGTCATTTTGCTTGCAGTGGAAGTTTACCATTTCCCTACATTCAAGTCCAGTATATAACAAGCAGCTAGGCTGGAAATAATTGTCTCACCTCAGAACTGACATCAAGCACATGTCTAATCCTGATCCACGGCACCGTGCCATATAATGGGAGGGACCCATGGCAGAAACAGCATCTTTAGTTGAATATTGTTATATTTTCTGATATTTGTTGTCTGTATCTGTCATTACTTAATTAAATGTCATACGTATAAGTATGTGTGTGATCTCTCTTTGCACATATCGAATACAACCCCAAAAACCTAATGACACCGTGTTCTACAAGACGATGACTGATCAGTGAAAGAACACTTCCTCCATGTAATTCAATATGGAATACAATAAGTTATATTCACTTGGCTTAGTGAAACCTGTACATCTGTGTTCAGTACGTACAACAAGAGAAGAGGAAAGAAACATTTTTTTTGGCTGATTAAGTGATTGCGGTGAACACAGATGAACCTTATCCACTAAGCTTAGTTAACATTCTCTACCCCTTTGTAGCACTCACTTCTGCAGGAGCCCGCAGTTTTAAGGTCCCTAGGGTCTTTTCCTGAAGTTGCCCCACAGCCAGGCACACAGTCACAGTCCCTCCTTTGGCTCAATGAACAGTCTAGGGGTGTGTTTTTCTGCTGCTTTATTGTAGAACATGAACTTGGATAGGTTCAAGGTAAATGTGGGATACTCTAGTAACTGTTAGCTTGAGGACACTAATATTCCTCTTAAGATCTAAGTAGAGTCCTTTAACTAGCAAATAGTGGACTGAGCTTTTCAGAACACCAGACACATTGGGGTTTATTTACTAAAGCTGGAGAGTCCAAAATCAGACTCCCTTCTGCATAGAAACCAATCAGCTTCTAACCTCAGCTTGTTCAATGAAGCTTTGGCAATGAAACCTGGAAGCTGATTGGTTTCTATGCAGAAGGGAGTCTGATTTTGGACTCTCCAGCTTTAGTAAATAAACCCCATTGTCTCTTTTGAACAAAACTGACTCTAGCACAAAAGGGGTGGCCACAGCACACAGTCTCTAGGATCTCTCACACCAGTCTGTACTTACAACGTTCTTGGATAATTGCTTGCCTCCTTCCAATATCTTTCAGACACTTTTCCAGTGATACCAGACTAGATCCCTAGAGGAAAAGTCCCTCTGTCAGCTCCAGCAACTTTCAGTAGAATAGCCCCCCCTCCACCCCCCAGGTAGCTTAGCTGGGACCTTGATGGCACATGGCAGGCTTGTCCAGGGGGCAAACATCTACCCCCCAAGCTGTCATCTCCTCCTCATCTTACAAGACACTTCTGTTCCAAGTCTCAAGAGTATTTATAAACACTCCCAGCCACCATCTAAGCACCTCTCCCCAGGGATTGGCCAGGGCTGCTGCTGATTTGACTCTCCCTGCCCTCTATCTTCCAGAACATTTCCAGATAGACAGGGGGAAGCAGTCAACTCTGTAGCCAGTGAAACACCAAACAGACCAAACCAATACCATGCAGCTACACTGATTACAGTGATCTAAGAACTAAATTTACCTAACCTAGCACCTATCTAGGAAGGTGATATACTTTATTTTATTCAGTCCCCATAAAGCTTTCCCACAGTTATGCCCATGTAGTCCCCTTTAGGGCTAATCCAGAGTCTGTAAAGTGAAAATGTACCTAAACCCAAAAAAAACAAAAAATATTTTGCAGCTTACCAGTCCTTAGAATTTATTTTATTCTTTTAAGGTTAAGAATGTTTTCAGAGCACAGGAAAAGTTTGTTGATCTTGTTAGAAATGTCCTTGTCACTTCCTGTGAGAATGAAGAGCCAGCAAAGCTGTCTAATGTAAACTACTGATCTCCCTATCCTTCATGTAATGGAGATAAACGAAGGGGACATGTTTGAGGTCCAGGCTGTGTCACAACCTTGGCTGCCTCCACAGACAAATTGGAGAAATGAGCACAGGCACCCAGGGACTGGAAGTGTGTTACCTTAGATTGTGCGCCCCTTGAGGGATAGGGACTGATGTGAATGCACTATATATACAGTATATATATATGTGTGTGTGTGTGTGTGTGTGTGTGTAAAGTGATGCATAAATTGACGGAGCTATATAAGTACCTGTAATAAATGAATAAATATTACCATGTAAAAATAACCAAACCAAAAACCACTGAAAATTTTGAAAAAAAAAAGTTTCTTAGTTTTTGTTATACAATTTTGTAAATAAGTGATTTTTCTCCTTCACTGATGTGCCCTAATGAGGCTGCAGTGATAGGCACTGATAAGCTGCACTGATGGACACTGATAGGTGGCACTGATGGGCACTGATGAGGAGGCACTGGTAGGTTGCACTGATCGGCATTGACAGGCATCACTGATGGGCACTGAAAGGCAGAACTGATACATGACACTGATATATGGCCCTGATATATGGCACTGATATATGGCACTGACTGGCCCTGTTAGGCGGCACTGATAGGCGGCACTGATGTGCACTGATAGGCGACACTGACTGGCACTGATTGGCAGCATTGATAGGTGGCACTGATTGGCACTGCTGGGTGACATTGAAAGGCAGCTCAGATGGGCACTGATATGTGGCATTGATGTGCACTAGTATGCACTGATATGTGGCATTGATGTGGCACTGATGGGCACTGGCACATGGCACTGATGAGCACTGACTGCTGGCACTGATGGACACTGACAGGTGGCACTTCTGGGCCACACTGATCATCAGGGCACACTGATCATTAGTGCCCTGATGATCAGTGTACATGTCCCCTCCGTGGAAAGCCGATTACCGGCTCTCCTCACCTCTCGAGCTGTCAGCATGACAGCTCGAGAGGAGAGAAATGCTGATAAACGGCATTTCCATGTTTACATGTGATCAGCTGTGATTGGACACAGCTGATCACATGACGGAGCCGACATCTTTGGCTCTTTCCGCTGTGCCCGAGGGACACAGAGCGCCGCCGATTGCCGCGCTGCGCGCCCCCTGTGCTGCGCATGCGCAGTGAGAATGGAAGGACATCATATGACGTTCTATCAGAACGAGAGAACCACCTTGCGCCCGTCATTGTACTATATGGCGGGCAGAAGGTGGTTAATCCAATCAAATCCTCATATGCTTAACAGTAAACTCAGAGTTAAGTGGGGGTTAACAGCCCATGATCAGTCCAAAATAGCATCCATCATGACAGCGGTTCAAGGTTTGACCATAAGATGCTTTACTTATTCTTGAAAGAGGAAGATAGCATTTTCTAGCCGGCTAGGTGTTTAAGTTCAAAGAACAGAGATATACCGCTCAGGCACACAATCCAGATCAATCCACAACAGCTGCAGGCTCTGGCTTGCCACCACACAAAATTTTTTTTGCTTAAAAAAAAAAACAAAAATGCCGGTTTGCCAAAAAAACCGCCCCTGCCAAAAAATGCTAATTACAGTCTATGTGTGCACAGACACATAGGATAACATGCTGGGGAGTTTACTGGCTGTAGAAAAAAACGTCAATGGCCAAAAACAGCAGCTGTAAAAACATCCAGTGTGGATGAGGACTAAATGTAATTTCTACTGCTGCTTCATTCCTTTGCTATCTACATGAGTCACTTCTGATGAGTTTTCCTGACACCAAGAAAAAAAATGCAGATGGGAGGGACACAACCTGTGATTGAGAGCCTCAGCTCTGTCCATATGAGTCAGTTGAAAAAGCTGGTACCAAATCCATAGCAGCTGTGGCGGCTGTGGTCTTCTTTAACTACTTGAGTTCCAGGCCATGTACAAAAGGCATGTTGTCGGCAAGTGGTTTTATCCGTAGAGAAAATTCCACTTTTTGAGCTTCTCTCCTGTGCACTGTTGGCATAGCTGAGAAGCAAAATTAAGGTAAGTTCTTGCCGTATTCCCACTAAAATCTTACTGGACAGAATGGCTTCAGCTGTCCCATTTTCTGTACATTATCCAAAGGAAAAACCTTTTCAAACAGCCGTGGCTTAGCAATTAACAAAATGTATAATCAGAAAGACACAATCATCAGAACTCTCTGGTCACAATACAGATCTTTCAATAATTTTAGAAGATGTCATCAGCTCCGCAAAGCCTCTGAACAATATTCCTCTCCCCTATGGACGTTCCATAGAGTGTTCTGGCTGAACGGTGTGTAGCTGATGATGACTTATGAGTGCCGGGAACTTGATCCACAAAGCTTACCACAAGATGATCAGACAGTTCTTGTAAGTGTGCCTTTCTGATGAAACAAGGAATCCTTATAGCTAAGAAACAACCACATCACTTCGCACAAGTGTCCTCAATATACTTGCATTGCAGAAGAAGAAAGCCGGTGTGTCAAACCAGTTTTGTTACTGAGTGCTGATTAATAAGTGCACCGAGAGACTAAGTCTGGTACTTATTGGACTTCACAGTCACACTTAGACATCAAGCACCAATGCTGTTACTGGAAAGTGGAAGTTAGACTGAATGAAAACTGAGATAGTTAGTATGTCTATCAGACTTCTTATTTATTTGTGTGACTTTCATTTCTCCTCTGCTCCTCCAGGTAACCACTGCTTGCATTGCTCTCTGAAACTTCCTGCTCTGCCTGCAACTGACATCTGCCTTCCTGTTGCCCTTGGTAACCACTGTTTCAATTGCTCTCTCAATTGCTAAGCTACTTTGCATGCCTGAAATTATCTGCTTTGTTAGATTTTTTGTAACTACTGTGTATACTTGTCTGTATTAAGTGAACATAGCCTCATAGTGCCTTAGCTGAGATCAAACACCTTGCCTTATCTTGTGTCCATCCTGCTTGCAATTTGTTAACTGCAGAACATCTCCTTCCATGTGTCATTTATTAGCTCTTTATTGACGATTGCCTAACCTCCCCCCCCCCCCCCCCCCCCCCCCGCCCCCCTGTCCATCCAAGTATAAATTCAGTACAGTTCTTGGGACGGCTGGCGAGGGGACAGGCTGGCATTCCTTGCGCGAAGTGTCATTACAGCGCTAAGTGCATTGCACTTTAAACACAGTACTTTGACTAAGGCAAGTACAAACATTAGTGCTCCACCCCAAGTACACTGCAAGTGCTCCTTCCTCTCTTCCCTCTTTCCATCAGCTTTCCTTTGTTTTTTCTCCTCTCTCCAGCATGCTCTTGCTAACTCTCTTTGTTGCCCTCTCTTCTCAAACTCTCTCTTGTTTACCCCTCCTCAAACTGTACATATCACCCTCACTTCTGCCCTCTCAATATCATTGCACTTATTATCTCCCCTCTCTTGGTCCACATAATGTCACCCCATCACTGCAGCATTTGCCCTCATATGAATCTTGCTACTCACTCCCTCATCCTCCTATTACTACTAACGTCCAGAGACATTGCCCCAAAACCTGGCCCTCCACCATCAAACTTCAGCCCACAGAAGCAGCAGCCTCCCCTCTCTGGCCGCAGCCGCAACCCTCACTCTCTTACCTCAATTCCCCTGATTCCAAGTGCTGGCCCCTCCCTCTTATGTGCCCTCTGGAATGCCCTCTTAGCCTCTAACAAACTTTTTACTATCAATGACCTCTTCCTCTTCCACTCCCTCAACCTACTTGCTATTACTGAAACCTGGCTCCAGGATTCCGACTCTGTCTCCTCAGCTGTACTCTCCCATGGTGGTCTCCTCTGGACTCGCCCAGACCCAGTGGACAAAAAAGGGGCAGAGTCGGACTTCTTCTTTGCCCACAAAGCACATTCCAGGTTCCTCCTGCCCCTCCATCTCTGTCCCTCCGCTTTCTTGAAGTGCACTGTATTTGTCTCTTTTCTCCTGTTTGTCTGAGGAGCACAGTCATCTACCGGCCCCCAGGCCCAGTTTTCACGCTTTCTTGATGACGTTTCAGCATGGCTACCATACTTTCTCTCCTCTGAGGTGCCTGCCATTATCCTCGGTGACTTTAACATCCCAGTCAATGTTCACACCTCTGCCACCTCTCAACTACTCAACCTAACTTCCTCTTTTAACCTAACACAATGGACACAATCCACCACCCCCTCCAATGGCAACACCCTTGACTTTGTGTTCACCCACCTATACACTCCCTGTAACCTCTCTAACACCCCTTTTCCTCTCTCTGATCACAACTTTATCAGCTACACACTCTCCCTGCCTCCTACCTCCCATGCCTCCAACCAGCAAACCATTACCTGTAGAAATCTCCACCACCTCAGCCCTGACCTTCTTCACTCTGCTACTGAGCACCTGTATGATAAAATTGCACCCCTGTCCTGCCCAGAGCTGGCCATATCTGCCTACAACTATCTATCATCCTCCCTGTATGCTCTTGCTCCTATCTCTACACGCAGAACCAGGCCTTGCCTGTCACAACCCTGACAAACAGATGACACCAGAAGTGTCAAGAGACGCAGCCGCACTCTTGAGCGAGCATGGCGTAAAACTAAATCCCTGAAAGGCCTTACCATCTACAAATCTGCTCTTCTCAAATACAACTCCAGCCTCTGCACTGCTAAGCAAATCTACTACAACACTCTCATCAAGACCCTCTCATCCAATCCTCGTCAACTCTTTTCTACCCTTAATTGCGTACTCCACCCCCCACTGTCTCCACCCACCCACCAACTTACTTACTGCACAGGAGATTGCCAGTCATTTCAACAAGAAGATCGACACAATTAGTTATGAGATCTCCAGTGTCGAGCTTCGTCCTTCAACCAACATACCAGGCCTAACACCACACTCAACACTCTCCTCCTTCGACCCTGTTAGAACCGAGGAAGTAACCGAACTCCTTTCCAAGGCCCTCTTCACCACCTTTAGCCTGGACCCTGTCCCCTCACAACTGTTGCAGCCTCCTTCCTGCTCTATCCTAAACTCTCTAACCTACATCTTCAACCTCTCACTCTCCATGGGCACCTTCCCCTCCCCGCTCAAGAATGCACTGGTTACCCCCATACTCGAAAAACCCTCGCTGGACCCCACCTGTTTGAATAACTTAAGACCCATCTCCCTGCTCCCGTTTGCCTCCAAGCTTCTCGAGTGCCTTGTTCACAACCGTATGAACTGCTACCTCACCGACAACAACCTTCTTGATCCCCAACAGTCTGACTTCCGCCCATAACATCCCACTGAAACTGCCCTACTAAAACTCACTAACGACCTACTAACTGCTAAATCCAATGGCCATTACTCCATACTCATGCTCCTTGACCTTTCCGCTGCCTCTCCTTTGGGCCCCACATCCAATCACTGGCTAAATCCTGTCGTCTCAACGTCTGGAACATTTCCAAAATCCACCCCTTTCTGACCAATGACACCACAAAACAACTTATCCATGCCTTGGTTTTATCCCGCCTTGATTACTGCAACCCCCTCCTCACTGGTCTACCATTACACAGGCTATCCCCCCTTCAGTCTATTATGCTGCTGCTAGACTCATACACCTTACCAACCGATCAGTGACAGCTGCCCCTCTCTGCCAATCCCTTCACTGACTTCCACTAACCCAACATATAAAATTAAAAATACTAACCACAGCTTACAAAGCCATCCACAACACTGCCCCTAGCTACATCGCCAACCTCATCCACAGATATCACCCAAATTGCCCACTCCGCTCCTCCCAAGATATCTTCCTCTCTAACTCCCTCATCACCTCCTCCCACGCTCACCTCCAGGACTTCTCCAGAGCCAATCACATCCTCTGGAACTCCCTACCACAGTATGTCCAGTCAGCCCCCACCCTGTCTGCCTTTAGGCAATCTTTGAAAAATCACTTATTCAGGGAAGCCTACCCCACCTCCACCTAAGAACTGTACTTGAATCACCTCCACCAGATCATCCCCCGCAGCTATCACCTTTTTGTATCACTTCCCCATTTCTTTAGATTGTAAGCTCCACGAGCAGAGCACTCATATTCCTTCTGTACTGAAATGTATTGTAATTGTACTGTCTCTCTTATATTGTAAAGCGCTGCGCAAACTGTTGG